GCCTTAGTGTGTTGTCAGCAGTAACAACATTCCTCTTCCTCTTAACTTATTCTGGCCCAGATCAGGAACAAGCTGTTACATGAATACTTGATTTAATGTTCATATATATATATATATACAGTATGTAAATGATTTGTTCCTCTCAAAGGGAGGTTTTTTCATGCAATATTGCTGTGTGTCTGAACAAGGTCTGACCAAGCATTTGAGATGCCTACACAGAAGAAGTTTTGAAGTTACTTGGACTGTCTCGTCTCTCAGAGCTAGCAATGGTAACAAGAACTGAAGACCAACACCACATTTGGGGAATTGACAAGAGTCAGACAACTGAAGTGCAATGGCTGAGCCTCGCCCTGGGTGAACCACTTTCTTGATCATGGTATCTCCCCTGCCAGGTAAGTATTTTATTTATGTATATTAGTGAAACAAATAGCAAAATATATTACATATGATCAAAGCACTTGATACACCACTTGACCTAAAATATCAGCTGTAGCTACTATTGCCATATTGTTGGGGTTTGGAGACCTCACGAACTAACTCCTTCTCCTTCCACATCATTCATCGGTCATACACAAGTTTGTCAGGAGGCTTCAGAAACTGTGGATGCTGACATCTACATCTGCCCAAATAAATATGACGTGAAAAGTAGGACATTTAGAATGTCAGATAAAAGTCTCTTAGAAATACACATTTGACACAGGTCATTTTATACATGTAGCACACACTGGATGTGTCATACAGACAAAATTTGTCAAGGTAATTGGGAAGGTCCAATTCAGAAAATCACTGTCATAATTGTGCCACTTTCATAGAAAGTTACCACTGAAATACAAGACAGTGATGTACCCTAGCGCAAAGTGTAACCCCTGAATGACAAGTGTCAAGACAAGGCCAGAGTGTGGGCTTACATACTATATAAAACATTTAGCGCAGCTGTTTTGATGCACGCCATGAGTTGATTTGTGTAGTGCCCTTGAGACGCCCTTGTTAACAGGAAACTGTGCTTGGTACCTCAGCATTTCTAAAGCCCTGGCTAAAGCTGTGGGCCTGGGAAGGTGGAAAATAAATGAGACACAAAACCCAAAGGTAGTTTCTTTCTGTTGGATTTTCACAAAAACAAGGCTACATTTTACATCAAGCTTTTGTCTCAGAAAGCTGCTAAAACATCATCAGCTTGATGATGGGACTAAATTCTAGATCATGTTTAATCAGTTTACAGTAATGTTGTTGTGATCATTTAATTTCCTGCCCAGTCTTTAATATCAGTTGTTTAATCTGTACTTATTTAAGACATTACTTTTTCTGACCAGTATGAATGATTTCCTCGCTTTAAATTGATCACTCTCTATTGCACTGAAAGTCAGTCTGTTTCAAAAGGACCATTTCATTAACTTCATCCGTTTGGTTCAAAATTGAAAATCTAATTGGAAAATTGTGATATCTGTGTGCATGCATATGTGCATGTGAGCGTGCATGTATGTCCAGTGAATAAAAGGAAGCTTTTAATTGCATTGTTCTTTGATCAAGGCATTTTTATTAGTGGGTGAAAGTCACATTAACCTTTCCATCGGCCCTGACATTTTCTCTCCTCCTAAATGGAGAATTAAAGACCATTGGAAAGTCATTAGTGAAATTTACTGCTTCTGTTGGCTGGTCAGCGATTAGAGACGCTGCAGGACCACAGAACAGTGTTCACAATCTTCTTCCAAGTCAGATGTAGTATTTAAAGGAGAAGTGTGTGAACATGAAAAAGATTTTCATTCCTCAAAAATTCTGTCAGGTAGAAAGCTAACATATGGGAGAATTACAGTTTGATTTAGTGGAGCAACAACAAAACATTCTATGAGAAACATAACTAAACATTCTCTCTAGCTTCTCTACTTTAGAAATTGGTACATCATGCAGTGTCAGTGCTCATACCAATTGTGGCAAGAGACTAAACTACAGGCACCACAGTTTGAGTTCACTTGGAAGGCCTGACGCCTCTATGCTCTTAATCCCATTAACGGTCTGCTGTCTGTCACCTACTTAAAATTTGACTGGCTTCTCTAACACCACTGGAATCAGCTCATCATTTATACAAAACCTTTTATCTTACAGCAAACCTTGTATTATTGAAATGCTCCTGTTCTCTCTATCATAACACTAGAACAGCCAGCACCAACATGCTGTAAAATGATCCAGTCACACTGACTTTGTCCTTTATCAGCTCAAGCTCAATTGAAATGTCACCATCCTGGGTGCACAACACTGTGTGACCAGAGACAGAGACAGTGACTGGTGGGGAATGTTCACTCAGCGTGCAACATATAACCACATAACCTAAACTGTCCATTCTGTAAATCTAATGCGTCACTCTAATCTGTATATACATCATTTGTTGCGTCTGTCCATACTAAAAAGGATGTTATTCTCCATATGACCAATGGGGGCACTCATGATGCAGAGACATATCATTATACTATTGTACATCTGCTTTTTTTTTTTAAATATATATATATATTTACATAGGACACAATAATATTAAAGAACCTGTGGTTGCTCATTTCGCTCACTTCCAACCATTTAATCTCAGGTCCCTCTAGTTTAGCTTTACACCCCTCATAACTCCAAATAGTCTGTAATTATTTCAGAACAAGGAAACTAGAGAGCCTCTTCCTAAAAATGAGAAAATTGTTTGTGAACACACACACACACACACACACACCTCCTGCTGCCGGTGTTGTGCCGCAAGTGGACAGCACAAGGAACCACAATGGCATTAATTATTGTGAATTTTTCCTCCATAAATAGTAAACAACAGTAAATATACTGATGAAAAAAAAGATGTGTAACACTCTAAACCAAGCAGGTAGCTGAGAAACCCCATATTTTAACTGGCATAATGCAGACATAGTAACTTCTCCAGCCTTACAACAATTCTCTCTAAAGTTACAGAAACAAGGCATTAACAGACATGCAACATGTGTTCTTTTTAAACTTACTGTTAAGTCCCACCGAGTAGTGGAAACATCACTCCCTTTCAAGTAGCCCCAAGGTCGGTGCGTCTTCCTCCACATGACTACATACATTCCCAAAGTAGTGACTGGCCTTTTTTGTGTTTCCACTGAATTTTCAGTGGAAGCAAACACAGAGCATTACTCAGCTTGACACATTTCGGTAGGTTCCTGTAATGGAAAAGCCCCTTCTGTCACAGTGAAGAGCTGCAGTTCCGTCCTCTCACCAGTCTCGGCTCAAGAGTGGTTTTGTCCCCGTCTCAAGTCATGTAATAAAACTTTTAACTTACTTCTTGTCAATCCTTGTCATGATTTTAGGTCTTCTTTTTACGCAACCGTGACATTTTCACCCATATTATATGAACAGCAGTATAGGTCATGAGCATGAGATGAGGGCAGAGTTTAGGAGATTAAGTACAGGGAAAGATGCGGAACCACTCCAGTGGGTTTTTAACATGAGTCTTCAAACAGGCCCAGTGCAATTTAAAATATCTCGTCTTGTACTGGTGCCTAAAGTGGGGCGCCTGGCTGAATTAAATGACTATCAGCTGGTGGCCTTAACATCACATATTATGAAGACACTGAAGCATTTGGTACTCCGTTTTATGAGGTCAGTAGTCACTGAGGCGATGGACCCCCTCCAGTTTGCATATCGGGAGTACATTGGAGTGGAGGATGCGATTCTCTATATGCTGCATCAGGCCTACACGTATTTGGAGGAGCCGGGGTGTTATGTGAGGATCCTATTTTTTTTACTTTTCAAGTGCATTTAATAGCATTCAGCCCCACATACTGAGAGACAAGTTGGAGGGGATGGGAGTAGATTGCTCTGGGAGCTGTGTCTCTGGGTGGTGGATTTCAGAAGAACGAGGGCCCCCCCATCAACCAGTCTCCATACAGGGTGAGGACATTGAGGTGGTGCACACCTATAAGTATTTGGGGGTCCTTATGGATGATAAGTTGGACTGGTCCCCTAGTACCGATACTCTTTATAGGAAGGGGCAAAGTCGCCTGTTCTTCCTGCAGACGAAGTCCTTTGATATGTATGCAGAGATGCTGAGCATTTTTTAATCACACTTTGGTGGCCAATGCACTCTTTTATACAGCAGTGTGCTGGGGAGGCAGTTTGAAGGATAAAAACACCAAGCGACTGGATAAGCTGGTTAAAATGAGCCAGCTCAGTGCTTGGTGGGAGACCTGACCCATTAAAGACTGTGGTGGATTGTTGCTTCTCTTTTATTCATTAACTCATTACTGTCAATGAGGTCATGATTCTATAGTGGCAGCACAGGAGAATACAAAGAAACCCAAGGTTTAATTTAAGATACAATATGTAACTTAAGGTATCACTAGCACGAAACTCCCAAAATCCACCAGTGAGCCAGCGGCCAAGAGGCCATTGAAATATGTTAAGCTAAATGTGATTTATCCATTATTCTTTATTGTAATTCAAGTGAGAAATATCTAAGTTTTGGATTTTAAAGGTTAATCAAAAATATGAAGGCTACTTAAACTATTTAAAATGTTTAGAAAACTGATCTAAATCAAATATGTAAATGTTTAATTCATGACCTTTGTAAATATACAGTATATGGGGGAAAAAATATAAATAAATCTAAAAGTTCAAAGCAAAAATAAAAATGAGCATTAAAAATGGGGAATATGTGCAATCAAGTAGATAAAAAAAAAACAATCCCTTTATAAAAATATATACGCTGGGGCAGAAGAGCTTTCAAATAAATATATACAGTGACTATATTTACAGTTTATTGCACTGGAGTGATCTGCTGTGTCCTGTCAAACAGTCATTGATTAAGAGTGAGAAGTTACGTTTGTAACACTAATGCCTTGTTGGCAAATGTAAACCACAACAATCCATATCATTTGATTCATAAGTGATTTGATTCAAGATTGTCCCATGTTTTTCCAAGTGGTGAACTGTATAAAACAAAGCTGCATGCTCTAGATCAGACTGGACTGTTTTTTACATTTCACTGCTCAGTTTAATCATTTGTCACTTAAGTGTCCGTTTCTTGACGGTAAGGATCTCTAGGCACATAGGAAGGCTGAGTGTGTGAGGAGCTTTCCAAACTCACCAGCACAGAGAAAGCACACAATGACTGTAAGAGCCAATCTGAAAAATGTTTAGTTTACGTAGTTAAGAAAACATAGCCAACAGAGCTTTATGTTTTGGAATAATAAGTTTGTTTTATACAATGTGCTCTAGACATGTTATGTTATGGCATATTGTTGTTTGTTAACCATGTGACCGGATGTGTTTTTTGTTTTTGAGAGGTTCAGACGGTCAGGCTTTGAGCACACAGTTTTTCTGATAACCTGTAGCGGTACTCCTTAGCCTTTAGTGCCACTTTACGGTGCAGGCCTTATGCAGTAAGTATGACACGACATAAACAAGTTCCACAATGACAACCTTCTCTGTGTGGGTAGATCTGGGACGCCCCTCATCATCACAACTGGTGGCTGGACAGTGTGAGAGATGGAGGGCTGTAAGAAATATTAACATATGTACTGTTAACTTTAGCTCTTCACCACATTATGTCACTGTTGTTGCTTTGGTAGTCTTACTGAGGGGATTACCTATCAAGTCCACTGAAACACAGGCCACCATTCCCTTCCAGCTGCTCCTGTGGTCATCCATCCTGGCCATCTCTACAAAAGTAAAAACAAATTCAGTATACACCAGAATAGGTCAAACAAAAACAGTTTTCCGCTAAAAAAAATAAAATAAAATAAATATGTACACACACACACACACAGCAGTTAGTAAAATAATTTACTGTATTAAATGTCAAATTAAAACTTGCACAAGACTTAGTACAGTCAGTACAGTAAGATGCATAATCTCTGAATTACTAATAGAGTTTAAGGTCATATTTTACATTAAAAGAGTAATGAAAGTCAGATGCTCTAACTTACCTTTTCCTCTACATGACCTGGAAACATGTCTTCCTCTGGATAGACCTGTAAACACCTAGGGTAAAGCCAGCCCTGCCAGGCGCAAAGACCAGCTCTCAAGTTCAGAAAAGGAAAAGCAAACCAAGGTACCAGGTGTAAATAGGCCCTGGTGCAAGACGCTACCCAGGGTAAAGCCAGCCCTGCCGGAAGCAAAGATCACTTGTCCAGGTTTTCCTACTCCTTCATACAACATTCCTGGTGAAAATCCTAATCCGAGTCACTGTCACACCACTTTTGGCCAAAAGGACACATCCACAGTGGTTTCCTAATCGTGAAGGACTGAAGGCCGGAGGTCGAGGGTGCTGAGTCCCTGTAGCCGTTTTCCATGGTCCTGTCTCTGGAGGAGCTGAGGCCGGAAGTTGAGGGTGCTGGCTCCTCAAGGCTTTCCTCACAAGTCCACTTCTGCCTTTTAGCACTTACCTGCTCAGAGGTTCTCTTCCCTGCTCCTTTTTGTAGAGGTGCTGACTCCTCAAGGCTTTCCTCAAAAGTCCATTTTTGCCTCTTAGGACTTACCTCCTCGCTGTTGCTCTCATCCCTGCTCCTCTTTGTAGAGATGCTGAGGCTGGAGATTGAAGGAGCAGCAAGAGGGGGCTCGGGCTCAGGTTGCAGGCTGAACAAGATGCTGTGGCTGCCTGACAACCAGCTGCTCAGGAACAGGAGCAACAAGAGGAACAGCAGCAGGGGCTGGAGGTCGCCAGGCACGGAAGAAATCCTCTTCTAGCAGCTGTTGGTCATCATCATCATCATCTTCCTCCTCGCTCATGGTGGAGTATCCGGAATCCTCACTAATCCAGTCTTCCACATCACTGTCCTCTTCCACATCCTCCTCTTCACCATCTATGAACCAATCAAACTCATCCTCTTCATAGTCTGGAAGAAGAGGAACGCCATCACCACCACCACCACCCTCATCAGCGATACCTACCTCAGCCTCACCTTCGTTGTGATCATCATCAGAGATGAGGATAGGGACACCGTTACTGCTGTCGTCCACAATCCTGATGACTTCAGGGAGGCCATCTTCGGCAGGACGTTCAACGACGTAGTCGACATGCTGAGCGGCGCCGCCTGAGGGGAAAAAAAGATTAAAGACAACTTTAAAGCCAGAAAAAACTGCATCGTGTGACAGGCTTCCTGAAACAAACACAGACACACAAGTAGACACCCTGTAGGGACTCCTGTCACTGTTATTTTGACCAGAGGAGGGCATGAGAATGATTTTATATTGCGCTCAATAAGGATTAATGACCACTTGCTCACTGATGGTCACATCAGATTTTGAACTGTTAATGTTATGAATGCTGGACACACTGATGAGCGAGCGGAGAAATCAACGGACCCAGGTCGCTGGCTTCGGTGCAAGCAGTGAAATTTATTAACAGTGTCAATAGTGCAAAAATATATACAGGAAGAGAGGAGTAGTGAGAGGACTGGGTGTCGATCAGCGGTAGCCAAGAAAAAAAAAAAGGTAAATGGAGTGGTGATGGGCCGGGCGGCGTCACTCCTGGGCTGGTCTGGTGGATGAAGAGGATGACTGAGGGGTAAAGCTGAGGGAAACCAGGGTCCAGAGGAGAGGTCAGATGAGGAGGAAAACCAGACGCGGCGGGGCAGGACAGAAACTCGGGCTACAGGAAAAAAAAATTAAAAACAGAGAAAGTGTACTTGGCACAAAGAGACAACGTTAACGTACATGGGGGCCTGAAGACAGAGAAAGAGCTGGTAGGGAAGTGATCGGTGAGCAGTGTATAAATAAGGAGGGAGACTAATGAGGCGCAGCTGGTGATAATCAGTGGAGCGGGGCAGGTGTGTCGGATCGTATAATCAGTGCGAGGGAGCTGACTAGTGCGAGGAAAAGAAGAGAGGAAGGTGCCACCGGGCAAACCTGACAGTTAATGTGTTAACCTTGGCAACATATTTTGTGTAAAGTTGGAAAGTTTGACTATAAATCACAATTAAATTCACATACTGTTTATGGTTTACGAGTTTGAGATGAACATTCAACTAAGTTAAATTAAATTAAACCTGCACAACATTTTTACAGCATCGAGCTGAAAGTAAACAAACTGGGGATGCACTGAGTCAGCTATCACCAATGCTCTGATGAGAGTGTTGAGAGCTGGGCCAGTCTTTTCACCTTCATAGCCAGTTCAGTTATGTCTTATGATCATCTGCTCAGATGGCTAATCCCATTTATACCACTCATACAATTTTAATATTATATTTGAGTTTATTAATAATGATCAAATTTCTATTCATTCAATTTAATTTCTATTTTTAAAGGCCACATTTTGCTTATTCAGGGTTCTTAGCTGCTAAACAGAGAACATACTGTATATTACAGAGTTTGGAAACACGAGCCATGTCTCAGTAGGTCTGTTACGTGCCGGACAGAGGCCTTTCTGCAGAGTAAGAACCTCAGTGTTTATGTCGAAAAAACAACTGGACCTATTTAATATAATGTGAACTACGTGCGTCCATACGCACGAGTCATGGGTGGTAAGTGTTGCACAACGAACGGAGGATCAAATCACTGTGCATGTAAGAAACGATGGCACCGAGGAAGCAGAGTGCACACACACTGTTCAGTAACAATCATGTTGCAGTCTTCACCTTAAAAATGAAACAATACATTAAAGAGAAATTAAAGCGCATGTTGGTGAAGCGCCAACACGTTGAGCTCAACTGACTGAACACAACAACCTGTTTGTAGGTCCATTTTCTCCGGCCACTTTTTAAGTGCATTCTGGGAAATATCTGAACATTAGTTCACAAATGTGATCAAATTTGACGTTAAAACGAAGAGATCTGAATACATTTTAATTCAGGCTTCAACCATTATGACCAGTTAACTCAGGGCCCACAAAAGCAAAGGCCCTGTGTGTTTATACCTGTGCGCTCCTCTGCTCCTGCGCTGCTGCTGCTCCACATCGAGAGCTGAGGTGGCTCGGGCATTTGTTTCGGATGCCTCCTGGGCGCCTTCCTAGGGAGGTGTTCCAGGCATGTCCCACCGGGAGGAGGCCCCATGGAAGACCCGGGACACGCTGGAGGGACTATGTCTCTCGGCTGGCCTGGGAACGCCTCAGCATTCCCCCGGAGGAGCTGGAGGGAGTGTCTGGAGAGAGGGAGGTCTGGGCATCTTTGCTTAGACTGCTGTCCCTGTGACCTGGTTCCGGATAAGCGGAGGAAGATGGATGGATGGATGGACGATGAAATATTCGAAGCCCTGAAGCCAAAATAACAGTGTTTTTAACTTAAACATGATTATTAATACATTCCACACCTGTCCTGGGAAAATGAACGGATTCTATCAAGAAATTGTCAAATCAAAGTCTTTTTTCACTAAATCTGTTTTTCTAGTAGGTCTGCTAACTTTCTGTGATCTGCCCACCTTTGGAATTAAAAACCTAAATGCATTTTTTATGAAAAAGGAGTGCATTATCCTTATTGAACCATAATCTGTGAGAGGTAAAGAACATTTAGAAATCTAGTTCCAGTTGATTTTTTTTCTAAGGTTATTTCCTAATTAAACAGAATTTATAAAGAGTTACAGCAAGTGTAAGGGAAAGGGACTGAATTCAGTACTAACCTTCATCATGGTTTGCAGAGTTTTCATTATTATGAAAAGAAACAACATAGCCTATATTTCAGACACAGAGGAAGTTTGCACTATCAATGGTCTCTTCAAAATACAAAAAGAAGAGTTTCTGGAGCGTTTTAACTGGCCAACAATGCATGCTGGGAAGTATGCTAATTTTGTTTCTTTAAAAATGGCCCCTACAGAAACAACATACTAAGTTATCACTGCTTAACTTGATCATTGTATTGCATATTTCAGCTGAGTAATGAAAACCACTCATCCTATTTAGTAACGAGAACGTTTTTTAATAAAACACTAAGGAATAATTAATGATCACTCTAAAACCAACATCCGGGTTGACAGTGGGTTTACAGTGTAGGCTACGAAAAGGCAGAGTTTTTTCTGGTTGACTATTTTTTACTTATTGTTTGGTATTTATCTGATCATTGCAGCTGGCGTTCATTAAATACAGTAATGTTTAGTAGCTTTGTTGTTGTTGTTGTTGTTTACATAGTTTCTGCACTGTACGAAAGTTCTCTGTTGGGCTTGTGTGTTCTATCATGAGCGTAACTAACTAGCTGTTTTAAGAAACTACATTTCCCACGGTACCATGAATGTGGCATCAGCTGATCCCACGAGTCCGCAGAGATGCGCGCTGACGTATAATTTAAGCGACATTTTAAGATGTTTATGCCTGTGGCATGGCGAGGGGTTGTATTAGCCTAAGTTCTGTGACTCATAGTTGTCCAGATTTGTACATTACTGTAAAGTTAGTTGTCTGTTCGATGACGAGATGACTTCAGCTATTATCTCAGCCATAAATCTTCTTACGAAACCTCTTGGCGGTAAGTGGATCGCCGCCAGACCGAGGGCAGTGATGTTAACTCAGACAGAACAACAGTAAAGATTCCTCTTTGAGATAGTGAGTCAGTGTAAAAGAAAACAATAATAACGAATCATTGTTGTATTGTATGAGTGGCTATGTGTAACATTTCGCTTTAGTTGCTATAATTCTTACTTAAAACTACAACAAAACCTAATGTTATTCAGGTTGCTTCCATTAACGTTATTCGCTGTAAATCCAATTTAACAGATGACATACAGGTGAATACTTTATAAAGGTTTTTTTTTTAGTTGGTGCTTCGTGGTCACTTTGTCACCGTGTTCAGAAAAAGATGCCAGAAGTAGCAACTGCGTTAACTTCTGCTGATCTGTTTCAGATTCCTAGACACATTCATGGTCTTCATTATTTTTCAGCGTTAACTAGGCAGTCTATTCATTTGTTTGTACACATGATGCTGTTTATGTTTTCAGTCCTCGCACATCCCACAATGCAATGTCCTCTGTGTCACTGTCTGTAGAGACATATGTGCATGCTGCTCAGTCCTCACACCAAAATGCGCTCCTGGTAGTGCTGCAGGCCAACAGAGCCCTTCTCCTGGAGCAGCTTCAAACTGACAGCAGCTTTGAAGAGGTGAGGGGACTGAAGAACGAGGTGACTGTGACAGCCAACTGGTTCTCCAGTGAAACAGAAGACATCACATGGAGCTTTGTCCAGGAGTGTCTCATACTGCTCCTCACCTTAGCACGACATCTTTCTTTTGAACTTGAACGTTTCAGGCAGACCCCTGCTCGCTCTGCAGCTAAACTGCATACTCCTGAGGTGGCTCCACCTTTACCTCCTGATATTCTCAGTGTCAGCCAGCAGAAGACGCTTGGAGCTGCCCTTCAGTTTGTGGTTTCTCTGGGGCTTTGCCCCTACTTGGCCCCAGGAGTGGGTGTGCCTCTGGGTCGCAGGTCAGCATTCGGAGCCATGGTAGAAAAACTTGTCCATGGTGGGGCGGTGCCAGCAGCAGCAGCACGCCGTCTTTTTACCACCACAACTGTCCTATTGCAGTTTGCAGAGCTGGCATCTCTTGCCACATTGGTGTTCACACGGCATCTGGGGGATGTAATGGCAGCACTGTGCCAGCTCGGCTACCAGCCACAGGGAGAAGGGAGAAGTGGCACAGAGGTGGTAACACATCTGGATAAAGCTTTGTTCTGCCTTTTTGAAAGATAGTTTTAAAAGAGTAATGCTTTTGGTGCATGTATTTAAGAGCCGAAAAAGGCCATGTTTTTTTTTCATTATTACAAATTCTTTGATACAGGAGCTCAGTGCTGAGGAACGCCAGTCTTGTAGGGAGGCCATTAAAAGCCTTTTAGGAAAAGTCTACCAGCCAGTCGTTATCAAGGAGCTGCTGATCCTCCAAGGTGGACCCAAACAGGTGTGTATGGATGTGTCTGGAGTGGGATTATGGCAGGGGCAGCTGTAAACTTAATGGGTGAATTCTAGAAAATATGGGGACCACTTCAGTTTTAGCAGAACTCACCTTTACTATCTGCAGAATAAGAGAATAGTGTTTAGTTTATCCATCTAACACTTACTCCCCTTTCCATCTAAAAATGTACAATGTACTGTATAACAGTGTTCCAGTTCCATCTGGCTGTCAAGGCAGCACAACCAGCTGTGAGCACTGGCTTTATAAAGCTGATATGGTGAACATCGTAGCAAACACTTGTCTGTGTACATGCCAAGCAGCATCATTAGCATTAAACTGGTCATTAGGTTCTGACCATCTGATTCACTCTCATTTCGCTTTGTTTTCGGTCTCCAACTCCTGAGAAGGATATCCAGCTCTTTAGCTGTTGAATCCTGGACTGTGCTTACCAGCGAGTTGCTAAATTGGTTTGTGTGCTGGACAGGTAGTGTGCAGTTGAACTGAGCTCTTTTGCTTATAACAGCTACCTGCTGGAAACATTACTTGTGAGAGCAGTGGTACAGAAACAAAACAACGGCAGTTGCACACTGTAAAACCAAAACAACTGGCTAAAAGACATTAAAACACTCCACAGACCTGAGAACAACTCTGGGGGACCTTCATATTATACAAAATACATTTTAATGTTGTTAATATAAACCTACTCATTAGTGCAGCATTAAGCAAAGAAAATTCAGCTTTCTGACTTTCCACATAATTTCTTCACAGCACTGTGATATTTAGTTGGATATGCTTTATAAGATGATGTAAAAACCTCATGCTCATATAAGAGAGGGGCAGCTGTGGCTCAGGGGTAGAACGGGTTGACCTTTGATCATAGGGTTGGTGTTAGATTCCCGGTTTCACCAGTCCACATAATGAAGTGTCCTTGGGCACTGAACCCCAGGTTGCTCCCAGCAGCTTGGCCAGCACCCTGCATGGCAGCTCTGCTGCCATCTGTGTGTGAGTGTGAATGGGTGAGCGGGTGAATCTGTGAAGTACTTTGTCCAGGTAAGGTAAAGTAGAAAAGTGCTATATAAGCGCAGTCAATTTACCAAGAGAGAAGGAAATACTGGCTGGTTATTGAAGGGGCCCAGTAGGGTTTTCTCATAAACAGACAAAAGTTATGTCAACATTCATAGCTTGTTACTGAAATACATTGTGTGAGGTCTACTGTGTTGAGTGCATTTCCTTTCTCATAAAACATTTGCAAAGCCATGTTTTTTTACATTCATGTTCATTTGCTAGCAGAATCTCCACAGGTCTTCTTTCATGTATCAGTTAGCATCGGCCATCACATTCAGTTCCCACTGAAGGCAACATCTCAGTAAGTGAAAGTGACAGTGTAACTTTGCTAGGATGTGAATGAGCAACTGTGTTTTATCGTAAGCTTTAAGGCCAGTTATACGCTGGTGTGTGACTGATGGGTTCTTAGTTAGAACAGGCCCAGCAGCAGCAGCACTTCATGTGTCTACAAAGGATGTGTTCAGGCACAGTATTTAGTTGTAGGTCACCCACATTGTAGTTACTGTAGTTAAAGGGGTAAAACTTTGAATTAGGCATATCTGATGTGTGAGACTCGCTGACAGAAAAATGCAGATGGACTGCTTTCTGTGTAGATGCACTGTAATCCTGTGTGTTTATTATATACTGTATTATAAAAAGATTTGCAGTAAACCAAACAAACATTGTCAGAGTTTTTTTTATTCAGATTTACAAAATGAGGTGTTCATAAAGCTCACAAGTCTGTGGGGCCTAGGTTTACCTGCCCTGTCCCTCCTTCTAGTCTGGTACAGTGGTAGGCTCCAGTGGTTCCAGCAGCAGATCGGCTCCAGCGTGGCTGAGGTGTCTGTGTGGTCAGCTGCTGTCGGAGCGCCTGATGCAGTCTAACGGAGTCCAAGCTGTAGTCCGAGCCATCCTGGAGGGAGGAACAGGTGAGATAATGGTGGAGGCAGAGCACAGTCTGACTGAAAACAAATCTAATAATCACTCGGACGTGATGCACCGAACAAGCTGAACAGTACTGAAGCGATGATGTTTACTGATTTAACTGTCTCAATCATACAGTTTCCTTAATATCATGTGTTTAACTTTCTAAATCTTTTCTTTGTAAGGAACATTTATTAGACATATCCAAGCTTGACTGAAACACAGATTGTGCCCTCTAGGGGCCGAGTCAGACTGGAGGAAGTGTGATGGTGTGGCCAGGATCCTGGTGGCCTGTCCTCAACAGTCTGCCTCAGCAGACAGCTACTACAGACAAGTCTGTCCTCAGGTTAGCTACACACACACACACACACACACACACACACAGTTGGAGCAACTTTAATGTGAAGACCAGTGTGTTGTGGCAAAGAGCCATCATCAGGGTCTGTTCAGAGTACATAAAGACTATGTTCACACTGCAGGTCTTAATGCTCAGATCGGATTTTTTGCCGAAATCCGATTTTTTTGCGCTGTTGTTCACACTGTCATTTAAATGCGACTGCCATCTGTCTCATGTGTGAACAGTATACAGCTCTGAAGTGACCCGCATGCGCAGAAGAGGACGTGACGTCAGACGCAGCGTACTGTGTTTGCAGAAATAAAAATGGATGTGGCTCGTGATAGCATGTGCGCATACTGTGTTTGTGAAAATAAAAATGCATGCGGCTCGTGATAGCATGTGCGTAGCGATGTACCAGTTAATTTGCAATTGAAATAAAGAAATAATGATAAGAAGATGGAGAGCACAGATATTGCTTATGGCCTCGCCTCCTCCAGCGCAGAATTGTGATGTCTGTCACATTTCAATGACATAAAAATCGCATGAAATGCGACATGGCCGTTCAGACTTTAGTCGCATTGCAAAACATCGGATATGTATCCGATTTAGGACCACATATGAAAGTGGCCTGGGCCGGATTTGAAAAAAAATCGTATTTGTGCTGTTCACACTGTCATAAGGAAATCGTATATGGGTCACATTTGGGCAAAAAGATCAGATTTGAGCCACTTCAGCCTGCAGTGTGAACGTGGCAAAAGAGTCCTATAAGTAATACAAGTGTAGAAAAAAAGTCTCGCGAGTGCGAGTTGCGAGACTTGTATAAACCGAGTTGCTTCTGCCTAGAAATACTAGAACATACCGTACGTACACCTCATTTTTTAGGTCACCTCTAAGATGAGAATTCACCGTTGTAACATTGTAGATAAGTCAGAAAACAAGGAAAAGCACCATGGGCTCTTTAAATTCAAAGTGTGCATGCCTGTTAAATGGTGATTTTGAAAAGAGAAAGGAAGCAGTAGTATTATAAACTATGCATGTCAGTTCAAACAGCGATTCTAAATTAATTGTAGGTATTTGTTTTTATCTCCAACTTAAATTGTTTTTTTACACTACCAACTATCAAAACCATTGGGTCTAAACTTCTGTAAAATTAAACCTAACTATGTGGTGAGAAACACAATCTTCTACCAGTACTAACCCTTATATTAAAAGAATAATTTATTTGATTACAGAAGTTCTGAGAAGAGAATTAATTAGGGTTTAGGCCTTACATCTATCAAACCTACTGGGGCTAAAGTTCCTTGAAACTAACCCCTAACAGTAAACCTTAAACTTGGTGAATTATTTCTTTTGGTGTTAATTTAATCTTTACATCTATAAAATATTTAGAGAGCAACAAACTAAGTCTGGGTGCTGCTGCTCTGTCCTGTTGCCTGGTGCCCGGCTTCAGGTGAGGTCTGCAGCGCTCTAAACAGTGCCAATGAATTCTAATAACAACTGGAGGAATCCATGTTTTACTGTAGGTCTTTATACTAAATACAGTGGGACCCATGTGGCGGCAGTTTCAACACAGAGGTCACATGATTTCCTTCATTGTAACTCACCAGCTGAAAACTTTCTGTCAAGGTTAATGCAATGCCTTCATGTGAAAAGTCCTAAATAATAAAACCTGAAAAAGGGGTGTGGGTGACTTAATATAAATGATGTTACAAGGGGCCATACATCTTCCTACGGGGGGGGCGGGATTGATCAAGTTTGACAGGTAGTGTCATCTGTATCTTGCAGCGCATCAATAAGCCAAAGCAGTGAAAGGTACTGACTAACAGTTTATGAAATATTAGGCCCATGTCTATACTTAATATTTTTATCTATTTAGGTGGGGCTTGCATTCGAGGTTATTTGACTGAATTACGTATCGGTACATGCACAGAGAGCCGCTGTACCAGAGTCAAATTCCTCGTGTGTCCGACACACCTGGCCAATAAAGCTGATTCTGATTCTTATTCTGGTTTAAACATTGTTTGAATGTGATTTTTGGAAAAATCGACAGCCCTATCTGCTTTTCTGTTGCTGCATCCTTTCTCTGTCATAGTCTTTGCAAATGCTTTGTGCATTTGCACAAGTCACTTTTATGTATACATGTAAAAACGACATTAAATATAAAAAAAAATAGGTGATTTTCAGGAGGAATCTACTTGGTTAAGTAAGGTTTGTTCAATTCCCCATTAAAATAATGAAAACTGGATTTGTTGGAACTCATAAGTGGAGTAGAAGGCCTCAGTCATTCTTCTAAAGATGTCATTTTGGTTTATCTAACTTTTTAACTAACTATTTAACTATACAGCAGTTAAAGGATCATTCTTGTAAATTACAACTCGGGTGTTATTTTTTTGGTGGCTAGGAAGACAAAAATAAGATGCTGTAATAATATTATAAAATAGTAATCTGTGGACCCCTAATGATTGAGTTGGCCACATAAGAATTAATTTGAAGTGCGTTGTTTTTCCAGATCCTTGGCCTTCTGCACTTCAAAGACAAGCTGACAGCCCAACAGTTTCAGCGTGTGGCCACCAGGGCGGTGCTCTCTATGGTGCAGGAGAAGCCCAGCTTTGCCCAGCAGTACCTGCTTACTCCTCTTCTCACACCTCTCCACCGCTGTACTACAGCCTCCAGTCAGTAACATGTCCAGATGATGTAAAACTTAAAGCAAAGTTGGGCCCAATTCCAATTCTCCCCCTTGCCCCTGTCACTTAACCCTCCCTCTTTGTTTTACGCTCTCATGTGTACTGATAGGAGTATCCAATTCTCTTTAAGATGGAGGGGTAGAGGGTAAAGTGGTAGGGCTATATAGCCCTTCAAACAGAGGATTTTTAGAGGCAAACTCAAAACGGAGTGGTATGGGGCTAGTAACTACAACTCAAGTTAGCTGCAGTTCATGCTACACACCTCACACAAATCCACCAACATTCCCTGGTGTCAAAAGCATATTCCTGTCCTTGCATTTTTCCTATTTGCTGTTGAAAATAGCAACCAGATGCTCATAGCTACAAAAGGAGTACAGTTGCCACACATGCAGTTGTAACAACATCTTCCAGCTTTAGGAAGATTTAATTAAATATTTAATGTATTTTAATATACACAGGGACATCCTCCTGCTTAGTGGTAATCCTGCACATTCTGAAATGTATTTTATAGGTCACCCAAACTCCTGTCGCCATTTTGTTTTTCCTTTGCAGAACCCAAGTATACACACACAATAGGCTAATTTAGTTCTTAATTACAAGCCAGAAATTGAGGAAAAATTGAGTATGCCTGCAGAAACATATCACATACATATATGCACTAATACTAAGACAGTATTGTTATTGCTGTTTGTTCTGCTAGCTAGCATCACGTTGTCACAAAAACAGCACATGGATGATCGCAAGTCAAATTCCAATGGGGCTGAAAATTGTTTTCCAGATGAGAGTCATTCCCAAGCTGCTGTGAAGGAGTGGGAGCTGACCCACTGTGTGGAGGATGTGTACAAGGTGAGAACATGCAAAGACATCCACTTAAAGTCAGCATATAATAGAAATACAAGTAAATGTGTTCTGAGTTTGTCACTCCACAGGTGACGTGTTAACCACCCAGACAAATGTGAACGATTAGAAAGATTGAGTGTATATAAAATGAGCTTTCAAAATCGTGAAAATTAGTATCCTCTGCTCTGAAACACTGGGGGTGTGTCAGGCAAATGTGCATGGTACATCATACCATGCACATTTGCTCATTACTGGTATTGAAGAAGATAATGCAATGCGTGCGCACGTTTCTTCCTCAACTGCCTGTCAGACTCCACACGCGCACGGTGGACAAATGGCACAGAGAAGGAAGCTGATAACCTGTCACCAAACTCCATCCAGTGAAAAAGAAATCAGCAGTGCAGGATTTTTCTGGATATCTCAAAACGAGCACCTTGGAGAACACCGTCCCTCTGTGCAGATCAATGTGGAACATTTATAACTTCTGTCACTCAACTGTGAGCATATAACCATCAGTCATACAATGCGCTTTGCTCAATTCTCACGTACAACAGGACGCTGATCCTGATCTAACCTCAGACACACACAATCATTCCTGGCTCACAGTGTGTGTGTGAGTGAAGGTCCAGACAGGACCAGTCTGGCTGTGCTGTCATGCTCCTACAGTAAATTAGCAACTATGCTGATAGTTGTTTAGGGCATTCTGAGAACATTCGTCACCATTGTTTTACAAACCAATCGATTAATAGAGAAAATAATCAGCAGATTAATTCCTAATGAAAATAATCTGTAGCTGCACTTGGATACAAACCAGTTCAGCAGAGCTCCACCTCAACCAACAGTCAAGTCCTGCTTTTACATCAGTGCACGAGTGACAGGCTGTTATATAGTATGACAGTATAGAATATATAGTACAGCAGTTCTCTGCATTGAGTATCCTGCTTCTACTTTTAATACCTTAAGTACATTTTCCTGATAATACTTAATTTTACAGTTTTCAGTACAGGACTTCCACCTGTAACAGAGTAGGCTCCTTTTACAGTTTGATATTAGTGCTTTTACTCAAGTAAAGGATATGAATCCTTCCTCTACTACTGGGGCTAACATGCTTTAGTTATAGAACATGATCTATGCAACATTTTTTTAATCAGGTTTCTAACTCTTTAGGATCAGTTTCTGCAGTCCAGCTCAGTCAACTGGAACAAAAATACCCTTTTTTCCCCCCCATTCTTTTGAAGGTTGTTGTAGCTGATAATAGTAATTATATATACCATGAAAGTTATTATATAATTATATAATACAATAATAAGGCACAGCAGCATACAATATAATTATATAATACCATAAAAAAAATTCAAATTCATATTTATAGCGCCAAATCACAACAAGGAGTACCCGGAGAGAACCCACGCAAGCACGGGGAGAACATGGAAACTCCACACAGAAAGGTCCCGGGTGGGGGCCGAACCCGGAACCTTCTCACTGTGAGGCAACGGTGCTAACCACTGCGCCACTGTGCTGCCCGTGTATTAATAACATTGAACACACATATCACAAATTTACCCAGTTTAAATGTAAAATAATATTTTAAACCCTTGAAATTGTGTTTTAACCACAAAGTCAACCTGAGTGCACTCTTTAAGAGTTTTATGCAAGCTTGCGTTGGCACACGTTGGAGCTCATGTCCACACGAAATCATTTTAACAGTTATACCAGTCTGAAGAAAATCCTCGTTCTTACCATCCAAGGAACACAGGACGTCTGCACACAGAATCCCACTGCCCTGTTGTCTCCCCACGCAGGTGAGTGCTGAATTTCCGGTGGCAACACTGTCTGCTTCCTGGCGACTCTCTACGAGGTAATTAACACAAACACGATGGCGTTAGCTTGGCGTAGCTTTCTCAGCTTTTTCTTTGCAAAACACAGTTTTACCTCGCAGCACGGGTTGTTCACAATCTGCGATCCACTGGAGCAGCTAACAGTTGTCCAGGCTTGCTGAAGATAGATTCCAAGCACCTTTTCTCTGTCTTGAATCTTTAATGGACACTCTTCAGGCAAGACTAGTTGTGAACGATGATTTTGACCACGTGGAACAGTGATTCGATACATGACATCCTGTTGTAGCTTCAGTCTTTCCAGCTCTCGTTGTAGTAGTGAGATAACTGGATTCTTTGACTTGATGTGATTTGTATCTCCTTGCTTTAAAGCTTTCCATATCTCATTGAGCATAAGATCTTCTTGTTGAGCTTTTGAGACCTCAACTGGACTGAAAATAGGCGTTCCTCTGAGGTCGAGTGTGGACAGATTACAACAGGCTTTGGGTATGGCATGCATGGATAAGCCTAAGTGATCAATGGCTCTTTCAGGACAGCTATATCCCTTGGTCACTTTAGACATTTGACACATAGCTCTGATGCTATCTGCAGAAATGTCTGTCCACCGACTCTTAGGATTTTGGCTAGGGTGTGGGCGCCTTGATAGAGCATCTGCGTCAATATTTTGGACACATGATCTGTACTTGAGACTGAAATCATATGTAGACAGAGCTGCGAGCCAACGGTGGCCCGTTGCATTTAATTTGGCAGACATCAATACATAGGTCAAAGGGTTGTTGTCGATTCTGACCTCAGACCTTGCACCATACAGATAGTCGTGTAGCTTGTCAACCACGGCCCACTTTAAAGCAAGGTATTCCAGCTTATGTGCCGGATAGCGACATTCAGATGGAGTTAGGCTGCGACTAATGAAAGCCACTGGTCGGAGCCCTTCACCTTGGTCTTGGTATAAAACTCCACCAAGCCCTTCTCGACTTGCGTCAACATGTAGCACATAGGGTAACTGGGGATTTGCAAAAGCCAGCACAGCAGCATTTGTTAGTCTTTGTTTTATCTCCTCGAAAGCAGCTTCCCATTTGTCATCCCACCGACAACCAAAGGGCTGTGAAGGGTTGAGATAGGTTTGTTCATGCTTTTTCTTAAATCTTTTTGCATGAGGTGGATAACCAGACAGGAGTTGGTTCAGAGGGAATGCAACTTTAGAATAATCTTTGACAAAGTGTCTGTAGTATGCACAGAATTCGAGGAAAGATCTCCAAGCAGTTATCGTGGTTGGTCTGGGCCAGGTAGTTACTGCTTCTGTTTTCTTTGGATCTGTAGCCACACCTCCTTGTGGCACAATGTGGCCAACATAGGACACAGAGGGCTGACAAAACTGGCACTTGTCTAATGACAGTTTGAGGCCCTCCTCTTTGAGGCTGTCGAGCACTTTTAGAAGTCTTTGTTCATGCTCTTCGAGTGTAGCGCCAAACACAATAAGGTCGATGAGATAGACTAACACTTCCAGCAAAATCCTGTCACCAACGGTCCTTTGCATACGTCGCTGAAAAGTAGTAGGAGCACCTGACACTACTTGTGGCATCCTCTCAATTTGATAAAAACGAAGTGGACAGATGAAAGCAGTTCTCTCTTTGTCTGACTCACCCATCAGCACTTGGTAGTATCCACTTCTGAGGTCTAGGACACTGAACCATTTGCTTCCATTTAGATAAGCAAGCGCATCAATCTTGGGCACTGTGTATTGCTCGGGAATTGTGCGTCTGTTTAGTGTACGATAGTCCACACACGTGCGGATCTTTCCACACGTGCAGATCAGTCCACTATCATCTCCACTGTTTTGAGTGTGTTCAGCTCCAGGTTGTTGCGGCTACAACCTCCCATCTGTAGGCTGACTCGTCGGCATTTCGGATGAGACCAATGACCGAGTGTTGACTGTCAAACCTGCAGTAGAACACATTCAGGTCATCTGCTAGTTGATGGTCCTCCACAGCAGGGGGGATGGTTTTCTATAGCCAGTGATGGTTTTCAGGCTCCCCCACACAGACAAGGGGTCTTTGGCGGAAACCTGAGCTTTCAGCTTTTCAGAGTAACTCCTCTTTGCTGCTCTGATTTCCCTTGTCCTGTGTGTTCCTCGCCTGGCTGTACAGAATCCTGTCCCCACACCTGTAAGCCTCCTCTTTGGCACGGCAAAGCTGCTTGAGTCTTGCTGTAAACCAGGGCTTGTTGTTGGTGTATGTGCAGAAGGTCTTTTTGGGCACACACACGCACATCCTCACAGAAACTGATATAAGATGTCACAGTGTCAGTGAGTTCATCCAGGTCTGTAGCTGCAGACTCAAATACACTCCAGTCTGTACAGTGTAGGACCCAGTCCTTGCTACCATGCTAACTCTGAGAGACGAGACAGTCCAAGTAACTTCAAAACAGTGCTGATTTATTCAAAGGATCACAGGTAAAATTAACATTACACACTCAGATATCTTGCACCTCCAAATGCTCGCAGGCAGATGTAAGATGAAAGACCCTGAACCACAATTGGCCTATACATTATAAAACCTCGCTAAAAACATTCTCACGACCTCTAGTACATGTCGTGACTTAAACATAAGAACATATTATGGCTAAGGCTACAGTTATACACGTCGTAATAATAATATTAAACACCCTGTCTGCTGACAGTCATCAACTCTTCTCTCTAGTTATCCTTGACCAGATGTACCCTGTAGAAACTCATAAGCATGACTAAGCATTTAACAGTCTAACTAGACATCCTATCTCCACTAAACATTTCTAATACATAAAGTATCTATCCAATATCTATCTGACTAAAAATATCTAACAGCAGTCAAAGCAGGCCTGTAGCTCTGACTTAGCCTCCTCAGTCCAGCTCTTCACTGTTTTGACTACAGGCTTCGCAGCTTTATTTTTATGCCTGTAGGTTGGAATAAGATGGACCATACAGTAATCTGAGAGTCCAAGGGCTGCGCTGGGCACAGAGTGATAGGCGTTCTTTATTGTTGTGTAGCAGTGGTCCAGTGCGACTTTGTCCCTGGTGGGACAGGTGATGTGCCTGTTTTTGGGCAGTTCGTGGGTGAGATTTGCTCTGTTAAAGTCCCCTGTGACAATGAGTGGAGAGTCGGGATGTTCTAGCTCCAGGCTAGTTATCTGTTCTGCTAGGAGCCATAGCGCACTAGCGTTAGCCTGCGGTGTTATGTACACTCCCATTAGCATGAAACTGTTGAATTCACGGGGAGAGTTAAAGGGTTTACAGTTGATAAGAGTCTCTAGGTCTGCGGTACATGTCCTTTGTAGCACTGTGACATCTGTGCACCAACCTTCATTTATGTAGAAGCAGATTCCACCTCCTCTCGTTTTCCCAGACAGCTCCTTTACACGATCCGCTCTGAACACCTGGAAACCGAGTATTCGAATCGCGCTGTCCATGATCGAGACGTTGAGCCAGGTCTCTGTGAAGCACAGAGCAGCAGAGCGTGCAAAGTTAGAGTTAGTCCTGTTGACGAGAAGAATTTCATCCATTTTGTTGACCAGGGAGCAGAGATTAGCCAGGTGAATAGATGGGAGTGAGGTCCAAGTTCCCCTCTGTCATAACCGCACCAAAGCGGCAGAGCGTTTTCCACGTCTGCGGCATTTGTGGAGCTGTATTTCTTTTGTATTTGTTTTCAGTTGCATATTCAAAGTTGGAACTTTTTGTCTCTGCTTGAGCTGCTGCTGCAACCTTGAGGTTGTTCATTTCAGCTTTGATCGCACTGAGTTTACTTTTGAGTCGTTCTACTTCAGGATCAGTTTTGTTTTCGTGCACGGGTTGGGTGACTGAGGCAACTGGTTTTGACATGACTGTCCTTTTTGCAGCAGTTTTGTCTTGTAACATGTTCTCTTCCTCTCCGACTTCTTTTAACAGATCATGGAAGGAAGGCGGAGGCCTTAGTTTATAGGTTATGTGTATGCGCATTGCAATCATGTCATGTGGTAATGAACATCGAATGACTTGTTCAATGCGGAGTTGGTTTATGTCAGCTAACTGCAATCCTCTTTTTCTGAAGATACAGTGCAAAAGTTTGTCTGGTCTTAGAAGGTACGTAGACAGCCTTTCTCCCTCACTTTGAAATGTGTGTCTGAACTTGACTAGGACATCAGATTAACTTTCAGTTAAAGCTGTTTTGAGCACTTGCATATAGTCATTTGCAGTAGCGTTGGGAGTTTGTGCTCTCAGAAATCTTATGTCAGCAGCAGAACCCTTAAGACTCTCCACTATTCTTTGTTTCTTTATACTGTCACTGCATTGCCATTCTTCCAACATGTGGGTGGTTTGCTCTGCCCAAGCGTCATACTCCTCTTCGCCACTAGGTGTTGGTCGCACACCAGAAAACATCCTTAGCTTACTGTAGCTTTGAGTATCAGCAGGCGCAGAATTGCATTTGTCAACAAGTGAACTGATGGCGTTAATAAGAGCAGTGTTAACCTCGAGAGACAGAGTTTAACAGTCCCTTAACATCAGCATTACATTAGTCCTCTTGCTCAAGAAATCACAGTTTTGTTTGAAAGTCTTCTGGATCTATGGTTGCCACTGGGAGGATATGAACAGGCCAAGGACCAACTTCACCAGGAACGCCGACTGAGTCAGGTAAAATCTGTTCAGTCGCATTAGCTAAGGTCCGTACTAGCACAAAATCAGTCTTAGAAGTCAAATCTGGATGTCTGTCTACTATTTTAATTTTCCCAAGAACTTTAACTGAACTATCATCAAGTAGGACATCATCTGTGACATCATAAACGCCACTTAAGACTACTGCATGAGCATGATCTAACTGATGTCTTTTACACCAAGCAGCAATTTCTACTGCTTCCATTTTGTCTATATAAGTGCAGAGAAGCAAAAACCTTCAAGGTATACAGCAACTCAATAAAACATTCAACAATATCACCAGCAACTTAATGCTAAGCAAACTGTACGTTAACAATATCCCGGACGAGCCCCCAAAAATGTAACCCTTTTGCCACCCGGCTTGTTGTAGCAAGGGAATAACTATTCAGTGCATACCCCTGTAACAGGGGTGGCCAATTCCAGTCCTCGAGTGCCGCTGTCCTGCTTGTTTTCCCAACTATCCCTGCCTGACCTGCTGTTGATTACTTGGCTCAGGTGTGTTCAGCCAGTCAGAAACTGGAAGATACCAATTCACTCCACTTTCATCTAAGATGGTATCTTCCAGAGTTTTATGCAAGGTTGCGTTGGAGCTTGGATGCCCACTCGAAACCATTTTAACAGTCATACCAGTCTGAAGAAAATCCTCGTTTTTACCATCCAAGGAACACATGACGTCTGCACACAAAATCCCACTGCCCTGTCTCTCCCCACGCAGGTGAGTGCTGAATCTTGCAGGTGAGCGCTGAATCTCCGGCAGCAACACCGTCTGCTTCCTTGTGACTCTCGACGAGGTAATTAACTCAGACACGATGGAGCTAGCTTTAGCATTAGCTTAGCTTAACTTTCTCAGCTTCGTCTTTTTGGAAAACAGTTCAACTCACTCCCTCGCAGCACGGGTTGTGCACGAACTCTTCTGCGATCCACTGGAGGAGGGAACAGTTGTCCAGGCTTGCTGAAGACAGATTATAAGCACCTTTTCTCTGTCTTGAATCTTTGATGGACACACACCTTCTGCTACCATTGCGTGACTTGTCCAGTCCCTTTTTTCATTTTTCTTCTCTTGCCTTCATTTCCGGTTGTTGTTTGTTTCTCGCGGTGCTTTCCAAACATGAAATAATAGGAAATGAAATATCTGGGGGTTTTTCTCCTAAACAAATTATAAATTCCTCCACACACATATAAGACGGCTTTAACTTTTATAATAAACTACGAAATTAGCTAATTATTTTTCACATTAGGGGGCCGTCCCTGGTAGGTTAGTGGTTAAGGCGCAGCCCTCTCGCGGCGGCGCCCCAGGTCCGAATCCAGGTTTCATCAGGAAGGGCATCCGGCGCAAAACACGTGCCAAATGTCAACATGCGAGTCGTCAGATTCGCTGTGGTGACCCCTGGGAAAAGCCGAAAGTGACTTTCTATTTATCACGTGATGAAATACAATACCTTAATGCATCATTATAACAACATAAAATACATTCTTGTAAATAAAAGAAAAGGTATTCTCATCCACTGAATAATCAGATTATTACATTAAAAAGGACAATACAGATTTAGTTAAATATTTCTTGAATACAAGTTTGTTGATCATAGTTCCTTAATTGTTTTTGTAAAAAGAAAAGGTTTTTGCATTGCCAGCCTAAACCAGAACTCTTCTGAATAATAATGGTCGTACTGATACAAATGCTAGCGGATACTAGATTTTGGCGAAGTAACACCGCTGTTCCTTGCTAATGTAACCGGTCGCCTTTGAGTCTCTATGCTGTCCTCTTAGTTAGTCCCCGCCATCTCGCCTGTCCCTCTGGTGACTGGCCGTGCTGCGTTGTGTTTGCTTGGGACACATGGACCTACACATTTGCTATTCAACGGGGCCCTTTATTGCTGGTCACAGAGGAAAAAAACAAACAACACATAGCCTCCAGTGAGTGCTCAGCTCGCTCCTAAACAAAAGCACACAACAAGTTTACCCATGCGACCCAGGGTGGGCGATAAAAGTAAAATAGTCGCAAATGGATGGAGCGCTCACCTCTTTCCACTCGACACCGTGCAGGAAAGAGAGCGGAAGAGGTGCGCGACCCCTCTTTATACCCGGCTACCAACAAAGAAAAGCATGGCTCAGTTGCGAGTCCTAGTGGAGTGGAGGTATCCCTGACCAGGCATGTGAATTGACTTGCACATGAACCAAAACGCTTTGTGTAATGATTACATCCCGGTTACATTTTGTGTACATATTACATCCCGGTAACATTTTGTGTAATTATTACATCCTGGTTACACTAACACAGTCTTTTTACTTACTGTCTTTAGTCCTTGTCATTCCTTTCACACAGTGTATTTGATGTCACCGTCTTTGCTCTTGTCTTTTGTTTCCGCCAGATCTGGGTGGTTGGAAACAGCCCATCAGCGTTTTTGCTCAAAGCTCTAGAAGAAGTTCTTGCTGTTATCTTCACACTCTTCTGTTTCACCAAGCAGAACGTCTCCCACCTACGGTAATGGTTCTTATTAACTAGGACCTCATGTACAAATACCAGCTCTCAGAAATAACCACTGAAACACACTTGCGTTCACTAAGTAAGTGTTGTATCAGATTTGAATGACATTTTATGAATTATCAATATTAATACCTTGTAATGATAATTTAGATGATGTGGCACCAGACTCTTTATTTTGTGAACCACACAATAAATAATAAACAGTGGTTAACCATAGTTCAGTGACTTATTTACTGGAATAAGACAGACAAAAAAGATGACATGAGAAAGCCTGTTATATAATATAAATAGGTTTATTTCCAAAAAGGAAAAGGGAATCAGGATGTGATGTCCATGACATGGTACAGTGTAACAGATGAATGGATTTATGAGTGGAATTAATCAGCTAATGATTAGCGATGTGGGAGTATGAGATAAAATTACACTTAGTTCAGACTTTATTTATTTATTTATTCCAAGCATGTAATAAAAGAGAGAAAAAGAAAAAAAGGAAATCAAC